ACCTATTTCTGGGATACCGCAGTCCCATGTGGATCAGAAAACAGCCACAATGTAGTACAACTAAACCCTGATGAAAATAAATATTATCTTCTCACTCCATATCCCACATTAATGCAATCACTCAAAAAATTTTCACCAGAAAGCATTCGCGCTATTGCTCGAAACCCAAATATAGACTTACAATCAATAGGAATCTATTCAAAATCAGATATTCAACATCACATTAGAACACAACAATTCCAAGAATTATTAACACAAATGGACACTATACAAAGACAATCAATAGACCAAAATTTACGCAAACTTGCAGAAACCGCAGGATTTGCCGATATCTACACGCAAGACTATAGCGGATATTTTAAAGACATTAAAGATTATATATATCTAAACGGTGAAAAATACCGTCCCCAAGATATATCACCAATTAACATTTTTAGCTTTGTTACACTCAAAAATGAGATCCTCGATTTTCTAGGATGGCCCTACTACATCTTAGAAAAATTGACTATTTTATACGCAATGTTTAACTTTATTGGATTTCTTTTCTCACTTTTAAAAGGAATCTACAACACATGTGCTATACACACACAAGTAAACAGACAAGCAAGCGTAGCACGCATACTCTTTGCAGGATTTTTTGGAATCTTTTCTACATCTATAAACAAAATTCTTTTAGACGCACAAATAAAAGAATATAACACAAAAATAGCAACACGACAAAATACATACGACGAGGAACATAACAATGTAGACATAACGCCAACGGCACCACAATTACCAGCCCTACCAAATAACCATCCACTATCCCTAGTCCCACGAAATTTTCGAAATTTAGCCATCACACATAATCCAAATTTTCGACTCACCACATCACAAAGTCCCGTTCAACATATAATGACACACCAGTCACAAGATGATAATACTTATGAACAAATTATTGAACAACCCCATACCACCGCTTTTCAGTCTCAAAATAATCATTTTTTTAGCCCACGATGAGCCGCCAACTTGGATCACTACACCGATCAAATTCCCACCCAACCAATCTTACCTCTCCAATCCCAATAATACCACTTTTTGCTTTTCCGCCACCCGATTTTCCACCTAGTAATGTAACATCAGGCATGAATTCCGACACTAATTCACACATCTCAGTTTTATATTCCATCTCACAACTCAATAACCCGAATATTGAAACCCCCGATGAATTTGCCGACTCAGAACCATCCCCATCCAATAATTTTCATAACTCTTCTAATTTTTCTCAACCCCCTTTTCAACCCATATTATCCAATAACCCTGACCCCATTACTCCCACACCCTCTTATGCTTCCCAAGTTACCCCAACCTACTCCTCATACCATTCTGACCAATCATCTCATTCTCCAGACACCCCCCGAATCTCCCCAGAGCTAGATAATTTTATTACCCTTCAACAACAACCCTACCACCTTAATACCCCAACCATAAACCAAATCTCCTCCACAATAAATTCATCCAACCCCCCTACCCCTACACCCTCTTCAAATTATACTGAATCATTAGCACCATCATCCACATCAACTGAATCTTCACTCAACACTAATAGAGCTTACCGCACTTTTAAAAGAAAGTTCCCCAACCATCCTTTCCCAGCAAAACCAGGAACAGCCCGTGAATACATCAACCACCCCAAACATACTAACACAAAAGAATTTTTAGCCATCACCTTACCCTCATTCCCACAATACACCTTAAACACCCCCCACGACACTAACGAAACACGCAACTTTGTAGGTGAATACGTTTTAATGCCCACTCTCTCTTGGACCTCATATTATCATTTTACTAACCCTCTTTGCTTACCTTTATCTAACACTCACATCGATATAGAGCGAAATACGGACATGCTATATCGACTCACTACACCACTAACCGCTAGACAATTTACTTACCTTGGATATAAAAAATCACTAAAAACACACACTGCACCTAGAGCTAACGAATATACACTCGAATACTATGATCACAACATCATCAGAGCTAACCAAGATCAATTCTTAGACGACGATCGCTTCGCTAATCCACAAATTACCGAGAAATTTTTCATCAAGACACCATATATATTTACACTAAACATCTTCGACCGAAAGTTTGATCACATTATTTCAGAAGCACTAACAGACACACAAGCATACGAAAGTTTTAAAGAACGCTTCCAAATATTTTCACTAACCTTTCATTTCCTTGCACCACACGAAAGAGATTTACACTGCTCACACGATATTATGTTGCGCACTAAACAAACCCACACATATAGTTATTATCGCTTCATCCAAAATCACTTTGACCTACACACACCCTCTAGACAACCACACCATCGTTTTCAATTCCTTAATTCCAAATACACTTCACCATTTTTCCTAAATTTCACATATTGTATTAAAGACACTAACCTTCATGGTATTCTTCGTAATTATGACCCCATAACCTAAATGTACATCTTCTGTCCCATCACCAAGACCTTCAACGCCGAAGAATCCCGACCCTTCCTTATCCCGCACGAGTTTGTACAACCTATAGAAATCCCAATTCTAGAATTCATCCACAACACTAAATTCAATCACAAATTATATAATCTATTCCAAAACACACCTTATGAGTTTGCAGTTGGCACTGAAGAACTAACCACTATTAAGGCACTTCAATTGCTTTGGCCACTGCTTCAGACTAAAAATATCATCCGCATCTTAGCTAAACTACTAACAACTTCAGAACTAATTCACGACATCTTCCCCCACGGTTTTTTCCCCGACGACTAACAGGTAAGTATGAATTAAATGAATATTACTAACTAATTAAAATATTAAAAAACTCACCATACTTTATCCATGTTTTCTTTAGATTTTTAGCCTTCATCCGACAATCACCTACAAAGACCACAAAAGACAAATAAAAATCGCAAATTTCATCAAACAGATTTCAAAAATTCTATTAATCTCTTACACTTATAAATTTATAAATTTAATACCAATGCAGTAAATTCATTTCTAAAATTTTCCCCACAAGCAGTAAATCTAATTATAATGAAAATTTGTAACTTAAAATTCCCCCATAACTAGCAGTAAATTTCCAAATTCTATGCAGTAAATTAATAAAATGCAATTGCAGTACTAACCTTTTGATATTTTCATTCATTCGCACAGAAATTCTATCCACACTCGCACAGCTCGCCCACGAAGAATTGTTTAAAATAATGAATTTCAGTTTCAAGTTTTCACACTCAACAACTCTAACATATAATAACATGTTTCAAACCTTCCTTTAACCCGGTTGGAAAGGAATCATATACTAAACAAAACTAACCAACGCAGCTTACTAAATACCACAAATCATAGAATAACAGCATGACTAAGAAAAGGAAACCAACGGTACCCAAACCGGATTAACCCAGTTTAAAACTGGATAATTTATTCTTTTGAAGACTATTATAAAGTCTAAGAAAGAAATAATAAAACACAAAAAAGTCGAAAGACAAACCCATACCACGAACAATTTGCTTTTTGGAAAAAGGACATAACCAACAAGACATAAGAAAAACCACAACAAACCCAACATAAAACGTTGTCACATAACAGGACCCCTCACAAAAACCGCATGAAATCATACTCCCACTCCTGGCCTAACCCACCAGGAAGGACGTCCTGAGCATGCTCTATAGCCGGCCTAACCCACCGTGCTACATCCACGCTTTGTGACCACACCTCTATTTTTAATAAGAGCTACTCAATTGTGAGTAACTCTTCAAAATAACCGAACTAAAACAAAAAGCTTTTGTGAAAACAACTAACTAAAATCATAATTAAAAAATATTAAACTAATAAATGTTTTATTAAATGTAAATTACATTATGCAATACATAGATCAGAATACAACACCAAGGACGAACATCTAAAGACAAAACGACCCCACTACATTCGAGAGAGAATGACCAACCACAATCGATATGCCACTCACAATCACAACTCAAAGGATTTAGAGTACGACTTGACTTCGCAGAAAAGGACTTCATTGAACTAGACCAATGACCACCTCGATGTTCAAGTATACGTACAGATCCGAGTAACCAGGCATCCCCTCCACGCACAATCTCCACGCCATTCCCAAACTAGATCAGACACAAAAGAAGTTCTCCACGCAGAACAGAAAAACCTGACATAGCCAACCATTCTGAAATCAGATTTGAGTTTGTTGCGAAGACTTAGTCGTTGTCACTAGAAGACACAACGTCTTATGTCTCTAACTCCAGCTTCCTGGAACTTCTCTAACAAAAAGGAAACAGAAGAAATAAGATGTTCGCCAAACACCAACGTCCATCATCCATCCTTCGAATTGCAGAAGAACTATTCTAAAAAACTCTGTAAAACCCGGATGGGTGGAACCTGATCTAAACTACATTTTATGATTGGATAATTTAGATATTTTACCAATGTAAAGTATTTAATATTAACCAATCATGATCCATCTAACTAACAACCCACTTATTTGTAAGTGCTGAAGTTACTTGTAATTTCAGCACCAGAGAGATTTGAATTTAACTTAGAAATTAGTTGGACTCTCCCGAGCACTTCAACAGCCGCAATAGACCAGTATACCCTAGATCTATTGAGCCTAGCAGAGACTAGTTAAACAACCTGAGACTAGATAGTATAAGAGTAAGATTAGGATCGGTATTAGACTAAGAAGTTGCACGAATCTATCCGGCCGAAAATAAGATAGCGTGACGAGCAGACGGTGTACCCTATCCGAAATTACTCTATGAGTTAACCAACTCGGTCCTAACTCACTAAGCCATGACAAGCAGATTTCATCCCCATACTTAACCTAACCTTGTAGAGCTACTCGTTACAGCATAAAACTAATGCTCATGTACAATGGGGGGCGGAGGGGTGGCGTGAGGAAAAAGAGCAGTTTTTGCTCCTCTCATTGTCGCTTCTGCTACTCTCTAGACTATATCCTACCTGTGATCTGGCCTTTGTAGTGCTAATGGATCCGATGGCCAGATCCACCTCCTGATCCAGTACTGCTCCCACCAGCCCTACCCACTTCTGGGTGCCCTGTTTGATTGCACCTGCGGGGAAGTTGCCAAAGTATAGCTCATAGTCGAAGGCCAAGTCATGTGACATACGCTCCACCAAGTCAACCTATGGGCAGGCACCATACGATGTTCAAAAAAATACCCGACCCATATCACTAATTAGAGCATCAACATAACTTTCAATGAATCGAAGAAGTAGTTACGTAAAAATAAACCTGCATAGTCTACATAGTCAAATAACTAATCATAGTAATGAACTGTTTCCAAAGAGGTCTACACAATCGAATGTATAAATAAGGAACTCTTTTACGACAACAGCACTTCGAGATTGAGCCATATGATTAAAAATTATTCGATTTGAGCTTCCAGAATATGAGTTGCAGTTCAATGATATTTTACACAGATTTCTTATTTGAGTCTGCTCGTTTTTTATCTAACTTAGTTTCATCTAACGAAATAGTTTTTGACAATCTCGAAGACGATGTTAATGCAGTGATGGTTGTTAGGAAACACGCTTGCCTCAAGCCCGATACAACAGTGTCTGATCTGGTCGAAGTGCGAAGCATTGGTCTGGAAGGAGAGATGTTTGGGAATTCGGATCAACTCCACCCTGCTCAGAGGATCCGACCCATTGTCGACTATTGGGTAGCACGCTTTGCCCGTGTAGCACTTAAACGTTGCTTCAAGTTAACATTTTCCAATTGATACGAAAACTTTTTTAAATTATTTCTATTATTTCAGTATGTTTATTTGATTCAGAAATGACAGATCATTATTGAAGGTGTCCAAGTAAGTAATGCGTATTTTTCCGTAAAAAGTTTCAATTTAATACAACTACTTACCCTCCTGTCAGCACCTGGTTGTTTTAGAACTAGGAATGGTTCTATGGCTGCTATTGCAATTTTGATTCTACGTCTGGCGTTGTTGCCAAAATCTGGGACTGCGTAGGTGTTGCCGGTCCAAACAATGTGATCCAGATCTACTTGACGTTTCTCTGATATCTGCCCTTTGATGCTCCAGTGTCTTGCTCCTCCTACACCCGATCCTCTGGAGTGTAAGTTCAGTACCTGATACAAACCACTGAGCGGCCGCTTGCAGTACGGGTTGAAATTCATCGTACTCATCAAACAGCTGCAAAGACAGCAAATTAAAAACCGTGAATCTGCATGTGACCTTAAAACTACTTACAAACAATCCAGCCATCTGCATCAGATTTATGTTTTTTACATAGATACATGGATCTGTTTTGATAGCGTTTATACACAGCAGGGGTGGAACCAAGATTTTTCGAGGGGAGGGGGGGGGCAGTTTTTCAAAAAAATTTTCGACCTTTTTTTAGGCCGACCAATTTGATTTTGCGAGCTTTCCCGGAGCATTAAAAATCCCCTGTTTTGGTCAACTTTTCTGCGCTTTTAGGCAATTTTAGGCACTTTTTGGATGGAAAATTTTGATCAAAAAGTTGCTCTTTTTCAGCCGCGCGCTCCCTTCTCAAAATTATTATACATTGGCGCCAAAGGCGCCTTTAGAAAGTTTAGTTTTTAAGGTCCGTCACTAAATAAATAGTACAAAGGTATCTTTGGGTCGGCAGGGGGTCGACTCCCTGAGGGAAAGAAAAGCGTCCGCCCACCGCCCACTGCCCACCGCCCACCGCCCACTGCCCACCGCCCCCCCCCCCCCCCTATACCCGCCCCTGATACATAGATAGTTTAATTATATTATATTATATATATATATATATATATATATATATATATATATATAATATAAAATAATTAAACTATCTATGTATCAGGGGCGGGTATAGGAGGGGGGGGGCGGTGGGCGGTGGGCGGTGGGCGGTGGGCGGTGGGCGGTGGGCGGTGGGCGGTGGGCGGTGGGCGGTGGGCGGTGGGCAGTGGGCGGTGGGCGGACGCTTTTCGGTGGGCGCAGATATATATATCAGTTTAAATAGTTCATGTTTCCAAGTTTCCAATAAAAAACTTCTAGGCGACAAGCTTACTCTCTAAATCTGTTTGCGAAGACGATTCTTCTGAACTCGGGTATTGGTTGGGTGCGTTCGGACAGTTGCAGGTCTCTCTGGAAGTTGACCTGGGAGTAAGCTGGGTTCTGGTACTTGATACTGACCAGGTCTTTCGTGGCATTGATGAGGATGTCTATGGAGCTGTTGAGTGCGAAGCCCACATTGGCATCTGGTTTCCTCCTCACAGCCAGCAGTCCATCCGGGTATGTGTCCAAAAATTGTGTCTCGTCTGTGATCATGTCTTCGGGGATTATGATAGCCGGTCTAAAAAGCCATTGAAAAGTTTTTATTCCGATCATCCCCTGTTATGTGAAGGAGCTGCAGCATAGGGTCTGTTTTTTAGACTAATAGATAAAGACTGACAGGATCTTGATTAGAGGCGGACCTCCAATTTTTGGCTCTACCAAGATTTTAACGTCATTTAAGCCATTATTTACCACTCGATTTTCCTTTTTCCACCTAATCGAATCATTCTTTCTAGAAAAAAATAATCGAAAAATTTTGATAAAGGAAAAATATTTGTAGCTTCTTTCTCAATTTGAAAATTTTTTTTGCGTGTTATTTTTCTTAAATAAGTGTTCAACAACATTGTTTTTAAACAGAAACCGGTTATTATTGTTTACATTGATATACTATATAATTTGAAGTGAATACCGACTGATAGGTTGGATCATTAGTTTTAAAAAAATGAGAACCAAGGTTTTCAATAATAGTTAGGTACTGTTGTGGAGAAGCTGCCTTATTACTGATGTTGTCTGTGCTACCTTATTCTTCGGAAGAGGTAGTCGCACTTTTTGAACAGGAGCGAGGCGTCGGCTTTGCTGCCGTGCAGGATGAACACGGTCAATTTGCTCATCTCCATCTCCTTGCACGTGGCCCCGTCCTGGTCGTTTCCGTGCCACGTCACATTGTGCACTGTCATGTCTTTGTCAAACACCCCGTTGTAGTAATACTCTCGTGACTTGGCGAAGAACTGTCTAAAGATTGGAAGCAGGATATAAAGCACTCAAATATCTGGTGTTCATGCTGATAGCAGTTTAATTTGCCGCCAGTTATTTGAAAACAAATGAAACTGCGCAAAACATATTGCGGATTTATGGATTGCTATTCCGACCATTGAAAGTGGGGAGAAACTTTGTATTCGGATGTGTTTTATGGCGGGCTTATGGATTGTTGTTCCGACACTGAACGTGTGGAGGCACTTTTTTCGGGTGTGTTTTCATGGCGGATTTATGGATTGTTGTTCCAATCACTGAACGTGTGGAGGCTTTTTTTTCGGGTGTGTTTTAGAGTTTTTCTTTTTTTTCGCTTTCCACGCATAATTATGCACTTCCCAGACAAACATTCAACTAAATATTGCGCTACCCGTGCATAACAGTTTTCCAAAAAAAAAATTTGTGAAAAAGTAAGTCGAACATCGTTTTTCTTTTTTCATTTGTATTTCATTTTTTTTGGACGAATGCTGTTGATTATGCCTTATTCAAAAACTTTCTACACTTTAGTATGGTTTTCTCATTCCAATGACAACAAACAACTGCTTTTGAAAAAAAGAGATGAAAATTTGCAAACAAGAGATGAACAAACAAATTTGAAAAAAAGAGATGAAAATTTTTTTTGAATATGGTCGGAACATTCTGAGCTACCTGCACAGCAACAGGATATCCTTGATTTGTCTTCTTTTTGCTTTTCACTCAAAATCAAGTACCACAAACAAATAGTCGAACTGGGTCGATCGATATATCATATTAAAGCCCTTGTTGTTCCGTTCACTGAAAGTGGGGAGGCATTTTTTCGGGTGTGTTTTTATGGCGGGATTATGGGTTTCCACGCATAATCAGGCACCACATTTTTGGCCACATGTTTAGCCTGATTGTTGTGATAAACTTAATAAATAGTTTCAGGAGTGAAATTAAACACAAATTGAATTCACTGGGCACTGACTATTGGATCATCATTGCACTATTCTTGGCATCTCTGCATTTTTCCTGTCCCATTTCTGGCTCCTTCTGGACGGTGCATGATTTAGACACCAATGCTTCTCTTGATGCCCGATTTCTTCTCAAAACTAGCCTGAGAGCAAAAAGATAAGTATTATCTTCAGATATACAATCTTGTAAATATCCTAACGACGCCACCAAATAAATCTGATCCGAACGGTAGTCCTAACTCAAAAGGAGTCCGAGCTCCTATTGATTTTGTAGCTAAAACTATTCCGATCGATACACAAAACTTGATTACAGGTTCAAGTTTTCTTTAGCTGACTTCGTCACAACAAAGGAGCTACCCAACGACGTGACAATTCATTCTTACCGGGGTCTTTCTGCAAGAAAAACTCTCAGTAATCAGAAAGTACATTGAAGTAGAGCTCAAATCAATCACTTTCCAGGATGGCACTAACTCGTTGACGAGTGATCTCCGCGAATGAGGCGACGAATTGTTTGAAGATTTTTGTGCGTCCATCATTGTAATAGAGCACAAGTGCAGGCCTGGAACTATTAAAATTTGTCAAGTTCCTCATGTTAAATCAGGACCTCATTCAACAAGTGACAAAAAAACCGAGTTCAACCACCTTATTGAAAACAAATTTCAGAAAAAGAAATACCACGTTGTTTTAGTTTACGAAAAAATTGTTCAGATTGACAAATATGAATCACTTTTCTATGATGAAGTACATTTGCTTAGATCGGTAAAGACTCTGAAGAATGCCATAATGGAAAAGGTGGTACCGATATCGATCTTATCGCCTCGAATTATGTCACAGTGTTTCAGTGAACTGCGCAAATATGGTGCCTACTAAATCGATATCTAAATTCAAAGGTGGGTACACAGCTTGCACCTATAGTGCAGTTTTTTATCTCTTTTTTCAGATGACATCGAAGTAAACCCGCCCAGTCATGCCTCATGAGAACCTCAAAAGCATTGCGAAACAACACCTTGAGTACATCAAGTTTCTAACTCCCTAAATTACAGAAGCCTAAAAAAACAAATACGCTGAAATACGTTTCCTTTCAGAAATTATTGACTCAAACACTAAAATTGGTCTCATTGAAATTTGGCTGGATGAAACATGCAATCATCTCACCTACTCCTTCTGTATGTCAACCCATAAACGATGTGACCGAAATAAACCACGCTCTGGTCAAAACTCAGGAGGGGTATACTTCTTCTTATACCAACAAAGTTCAACCCTAAAATCCGGGAAGACATAAATTTCGAACGTCCCGTCCACTTCGAAGGCATCTGGGTAGAATTTAGTCCAATCAAATCAAAAATCAAAAAGGCAGGTAATATCTTTTGCTTACAATCAACACAAGCAGTTTGAACAATTATTAATTGAAGACACATTGGAAGGTACTGATTATGTAGCTTCGGAAACCAGAAATTTAACTATTCTTGGAGATCTCAACATCAATTACCTGAACAAAGCAACACCAAAATTGTCAACGATTTGTTTAAACCATATAACTTGTCCTTAGCAAATAAAACATGCCAACATTTAACTCGGCACATAACAGATCTCTCTTGGATTATATTATCACAACCAAATCTTTTTGTAAGGAAACTTTTGTTGCTGAAGCATCCTTTAATACAGACAAGGAAAAATAGCCCACTTCGAACTTTGATGTTCAACAATAAAAAGCAATGAAAATTGATTTTGTGAGACTGTGAACAAAAACCCATTGTTTTTTTATCTACCAAGAACAAACAGTTTCAAATATTTTACTTAATTTCGAACAAATATTCGCAGAAGTTTTGTATATTCATGCACCAATTGAAAAGAAATTTGTCAGTAATAAACCACCACTTCAATTATCTTAAAAAAGTTATGAACACAATAGACGAACCGTTTAGATTGAAAAAAGAAATGGCACTAAGAAATATTCAGTCTTCACAAACTGCTTTAGATTATCAAACCTATAAACGCGCAAGAAATTTACTCAGCAACCATCTTTATATACAAGAATGAGATGTAAGCTCTATTTCAGAATCTTGACAGTCCCAAAAAGCAATGGAAGTTCATCAACTCCATAAAAAAAAACATTGAAGCAAACTATCCAGATAGAATGATTGCGGATTTCATTGAGTAATTTAATCAATGATATTTAAAAGAAAATTGACTTGCTTAGTTACAATTTTTCAATTTTAGGCGTCTATAAATATTGCAATGTCCACCAAACCTACCGCTCTGAGAACTGATACCAAAAAATTTTAATTCAGATATGTCACTGGCAAAGAAAAGTTTGAAGCAATTTTTTTGCTTCCAATCGATAAGCTTTTAGGACCCAGTAGAAAAACTGTTTGGGCCCTGAAAGACAGTGTGCAAACAATCAAATCTATTTTAACAAAGATTATTTACCAATGTATCTCGAAAACTGAATGTCCACAAGCTTGGAAAAAGCACATGTTATTCCCGTATTCAAAAAAGGAGATACAGTCAATCCGATCAACTACCGGCCAATTTTCATAACACCAGTTGTCTCTAACTTTTTTTCCAGCTCAAATAAATCAAATTTTGTTTGTTAATAACATTCTAAACCGCAAACAATTTGTTTTAGGCACGGTTATTCGACTAATGATGCTCTTCTATACACAATAGAAAAAATCAGATTCCATCTGGATAAACATAATGCAGCAGCAGCGGATATTTTAGATCTCTCGAAAGCGTTTGGTTCCCTTGCACATCCCGTCCTTGAACAAAAATTGAGGAATCTTGGTTTTGAATCATCAGCCACTGATCTAGTAAATTCTTTTCTAGAAAACACACAGCAGTAAACAATTGTGAATAGTGCTTATTCAGATAAGCTCAAGTTGGAGCAAGATGTACCCCAGGGTGCTGAACTAGGACCTCTGCTGTTTAACTAATAAGTTAATGATAAGCCAGAAGTTTTAGACAAGTCATGTACTCTTGTACAGTATGCCAATGATACAACACTGCTAAGTTTCCATTCAAATCCGATATCCGCAACATAAATCATTGAATCGTGTTTCAACAGATTACTCTCATGTTTTAATTTAAACCAATCAAAGATAATTGTAATCAAAACTCAGTTCATCATTTTCTCTGCTCCATCACAAAAGAAACTCATAGAAAACTGCAAGCTGCAAGTACGAAATTACCAAGTCAAGTCCGTCAAGTTTCTCGGTGTTAAGATAGTTCCATGTTTTAATTTTAAAAAATAACTAAGTCTTACAGAAGATGGTACTGTAATCCAAACAATCAAATGCATTAGAGATGAAATTCCCCTACGAAGCAGAATCCTTTTACTCATTACCCTTTCATTAAGCCATTGACAGTATCATTGCATGCTTTTGAATGGTTGTACTGAAGAAAATCTAGACAAGCTGGAAAAGCAAAAAAAATGGGGTATGCGAGTTGTCATTAACATAAACATAAGAGATTTTGTCACATATGTAAGGAAAAAAAACAGAAAATTCCCACTGCTAGAGATATAATCAAATACAGATCGACACAATATCTTCATAAATTAGGCCAAAACAGAATTAGAGCATTTATTTTCCTGCAGTTTCCGAATTCTAAATTCCGCTTTAATCATTCCATCGGCTCAACTTTCCTGCCACGTTTGTGCAAAACCTAATTCTTTCGCAGGTCATTCCTATTTACATCAATCAAAATTTTTAACTTGGTAATTCAAAAAATCATCTCCATGAAAAAAATCTGTACGCTATCAAACAAATCAATTAAAAACCGCATACTAGAGCTGAGTTCTAATACATACAAAGGGCAGACTCTACCAACACCCAACTTCCCCCTTACTTCTTAGGGAGCGTCTTATTTAATCTTATGTATTCAGTGACTGATGAAACTTTTTCTGTTCATGTATTTAATAATAATGTACACTTGTTCCATCTACAATCAGTTTTGTAACTGCAAAAGTTGATGCAACAATGAAGCGTATTTTCTCTCTCTCTCTCTCTCTCTCTCTCTCTCTCTCTTTCTCTCAGTCGTAATTTGAAC